TAACACCTAATGTCTCTAACAGACCTATTGGCCGATTTTTTTTTTACTGTTCGCACAGAACTATTGTCAAAACTTTCCTGACTAAATCAGGAATCGAAACAATGTAATTGGCTTTAGGGAGGGTGGAGACAGAGAACACTGATTTTATTGTGGAAAACCTGCTCCCAACCAGATAACAAAGATGGCAAAGGCACCGTGCAGCGGAGGAGGAGTTACATGACCAACTGGGAGCAAAAACCAATGATCATCTGCCCGTACAGTAGGTTAACTGAGTTCGCTATAAAGTCCACTATATAGTTCCCGCTATATACCGGTAGTTACTGAGGGATTTAGGCATTAGGACGGATGTTTGGGGACAGTAAGCTTGTATGAGCTATGAAATCAGCAACTTTTGAGCAGAACGTGCACGAGGAGAAATGGGCTCATGCATGCTCTCGCAGACATTTAACAGGCCTTCCCTCTTGGGGGCAGGTACAGGGTTGTGCATGTGGTTTTTTTTTAAAGTTTGGTGGGGTTTTTTTTTTTTTTATTGTGAAAATCTTCCACAATATCTTTAATCAATTTAGAGTTGAGGGTTTGAGTCTAAATTTGTTAAACCTGCTTTGTGAAAAACGCTTCTGATGTGCAGCATACTTGCCCATCAGGGAAAAAACACCAGTGTGTATTTTTTTCCATTTAAAAAAAAAAAAGAAACCCTTTATTTAAGTGGTATCAGACACTGTTTACACTTCAACCTGATAAAGACATAATACCCCCTTTAGATTGATTATAGCACTATTTTTATTGTGCAAACCATCTGTGTAGGAGTACATTCTCTCAATTTTACGAAGTAGATTTTAGATTCAATAGTATGGCATTCTAGCTATTAAGCCTTTTGCTCTTATCTCATCACTGCGGCACTAATACAAATGCTGGAATACTTGGAGAGGAGCAGATTTAGAGCCGAGGCGGAAAATAACAGAAGATGTGGGGAACAGGGTAGGGGGAAGAAGAGCAGGATAGAGGAGAATGGAAGAAAGGTAAGGAGAAAAGAGAGATGATTAATGATGGTGGCGGAAAAGATGGCCAAGGTGGTTTTTGAAATTAACAGAGCCTTAGCCAGCAGAGGACTGTAGGGAATAGAAGGCACTCAGGCTCATACCAACACTGACCCATCTACTTGGGAAGGACCTGTTGTAAAAACACATTAGTTGGGTAGAATGTAACTAATAGTATTCTATAATATAAATATAAAAAAGAATATAAAATGTGAATCAAAAATTGTAGCATGCATCTTGAGTTATTTAAAGTGGATAAGAATTATGGTTAAGAGAGGAATATATATCACTATAAGATATCATTATTGCTCAAGACAAAGCCAAAATTAATTTTAATTTGTGTAATTTAAAGAATATAATGGAGAAGCTTACCAGGACATGCAGTGCATTCATTTGCACCCAATAGCCAATGTGAATCATAAAAAAGCCTAAAACATGCTTTATGCACAAATAGTTGTTCCTGGATGAGAAAGTGAAAATAGAGCTACCAAATTCCACCTCTCTATAAGTTTTAATTCATGAATTTTAGAATTTTTCTGTAAACTGTATGTGAGTTGTATAACATCAAAAGTTGATAAAACTGCAGACTCACAAAAAGAATTGGTTATCTGCTTTCTACTAACAAATATGTTTGACGTTTGTCTGTTTTTTCCACATCTATAATGCCCTTTTCAGTCTCTGTGTCTATTACTGCAAATTTTAATAGAAAAAGAATCAGCAAAAGTATCTACTGTAACTTTCTTTTGCCAAGCTTAATTCTAGCAGAGCATTGGTATTACAGTACTGATAAGAAGAGTGGAACTTCACAGGTGGGAAGAATGAGTAATAATAAAGACAGGAGCAGAATTGGATGTAAAAAAAAACCACTTACCTTTCCAGAATCATGACAATCTAGACAAAACATCTTCAAGTATAATATAAAAAAGGGTTTTTACACACATACTCTACATTTCTCTAAATATTATATTGTTTTACATTTCTTAATTTTATTGTAATACTGATTCACCAGTTATCCAAGTAATTTTTACCCTGAAGAGCACAGAACCTTGTGGAGCCTTTACAAATTACTTTTGCTCTAGTTTAATGGGAAAGGTTATATGTTAATTTTGATTAAGTCTGTCTTTTTTCCTCCATCCTTCATTCCATCAACTCAGAGCCCATGAGAAAACAGTAGCCTTTGTGGCCTATGAGCTGTCTGCTTATGTCAATTAGGAATTTAATTAGAGATGAATGTGCCGCATGCTGACGGCTGATAGACAGGCCAGGTCACAGCTGGGGTTGTGTGCTTATATGTAGGTCTTATGTCAAAAGTTTCTAATTATGCATTCAGTCATGGACAACCTTTTACGGCTTACTTGTCCAATTCAACGCTGGCGGCAGAGAGAATTAACAAGCCCAGGGCATTGCCAGCTACAGTACTACTCCGGGCCTTGTCTGTTCAAAGTTAAAGTCCCACTTTCTAGCTGAGCCTTAAGTGTTGTCTAAGCTAACCCATCTTGTTGCAATGTTGTATTTTTAATGCTTTAGTGACTCATTGTACTTATCCACATTGAGCTGAATGAAAAAACACTGTTTTAATTGCATAAAAAAAAAAAAAACTGCATTATTTACTATTCACATATACCTGATGTTGTTTTGACTGGACATCCCTGGATGCATTTATACAGGTCCTTCTCAAAATATTAGCATATTGTGATAAAGTTCATTATTTTCAATAACATAATGATAAAACTTAAACATTCATATATTTTAGATTCATTGCACACATTTCAGGTCTTTTATTGTCTTAATATGGGTGATTTTGGCATACAGCTAATTAAAACCCCAAATGCCTATCTCACAAAATTAGCACATTTCATCCGACCAATAAAATAAAAGTGTTTTTAATAATAATAATAAAAAAGGAAACCTTCAAATAATTATGTACAGTTATGCACTTAATACTTGGTCAGGAATCCTTTTGGAAAAATGACTGCTTCAATGGGGCGTGGCATGTAGGCAATCGGCCTGTGGCACTGCTGAGGTGTTATGGAGGTGTTATGGATGCTTCAATAGCAGCCTTTAGCTCATCCAGAGTGTGTGGTCTTGCATCTCTCAACTTTCTCTTCACAATATCCCACAGATTCTCTATGGGGTTCAGGTCAGGATAGTTGGCAGGCCAATTGAGCACAGTGATACCATGGTCAGTAAAACATTTACCAATGGTTTTGGCACTGTGAGCAGGTGCCAGGTCGTGCTGAAAAATGAAACTTTCATCGTCATAAAGCTTTTCAGCAGATGGAAGCAGGAAGTGCTCTAAAATCTCCTGATGGCTATCACAAAACTATCATTTGTACTACCTATTTATTTACCATAATTATGTAAAAGGAAAATGGAAGTTAGGGTTGTTATTTAACCAATAAAATTCCAATGTGAAACAGCTACTGAAATGAGAATATAGAAAGTGTTTCTGATTACATTAACTTTCTGATTTAAAAGCAAAACATTGAAAAAAAATCCAAAAACAGTTTAGGTGAAAATTATCTTATTGATTTTTCTTTCAGGATTCCCTACTTTTCTGTCAGATTACTCCGAGAGAAAGTACTTTACCTGTCCCATTATCAGGATGTGTTTCAGACAGGAAGATCATTGGTAGTTAATCATCATCTCCTACTTTTCCTTCATCAATGAGGTCCCTTTTTTCTGTTTTCTAAGTAATTAATCCGATTGTGGAGCTGGTGAGTTAAAGATAAACTGTACTGGTTTAAAACTCTATGGTATTTTTGAGATTATACTTGCCAGCATCATCCTACTGTTAATCTGGATTTATAGGATAATGCTTGCAAGGTGTCCATTATCAGAAATAAATGGATGATGTGGAAGCAGAACCCGTGATCTACTTTACAAAAATTTCTCAGCAACCTGCACAGCTGGATGCTGTGTTTCCCCAGGGACTCATGGTCCTTCCCCATCCGCCTTGGCTGAGTTTTCCAATAAAACTTCTCCCTTCAGTTTGTGTCCGTGCCTGATTCTGCTTGTGGGTCTGAAAGGTTCAGCCAGACACAACAGAATCATCAGGCCCGTTTTTAGTATTTTTGTACTAGCCGGGGGGGGAGGGCTGTTAACCTCTTCCCAACCAGCCTGTGTGCCAGGTTTCAGGCTGATCCTCCCACCACTACACTGTCCCCAGAAGAACCCATGCATATTGGGCGTACCCGTTTGTCTGTTAAGGAAAGACGCCGTTTGGATTCATGGGCATGCCTATATTATGGCCAGGTAGGTATGGGAATTCTGGTGGGTGTGTGCAACCAAACTGCCTCCTGTTTCATCCTTCCAATCTCTCTTCTTCTGAGAGAGAAGGGAGAGTTGAGTCTTGGAGCTCCCATTGTGTATCAACCAGTCTCTGTTCTGCCCATGTTAGACCTAGCCCAGCTAACATGAAGTCAGAAGTAACTGTAGACTTAACGTTCCTTCTGTATATCATGATTTAAAACTGGTCTTAAATGATTTAAAACTCTCTCTTCCTCCCCACCGCCCTTACAATTGCTCAATAGAGTTATATCCTGGAGCCACCTTGCCCTCAAGTCATTTGTACAACCTCTCAAAGTCTCAGAGGAAATGCATGGAGAAGTATATTAATGAGTCACTTGCTCCAGAAATAATTCGTCATTCTACTTCCCTGTTGAGGGCTGGGTTTTTCTTCGTATCAAATAAAGATTGGTCTGTCCGGCCCTGTATTGATTACAGAGGACTCAATCAAATTACAATAAAAAACAAGTATCTACTCCCTCTTCTAACCTCAGCTTTTGAACCAGTCCATGGTTCGAAGATTTTCTCCAAACTAGACCTCTATAATGCCTGCCATCTGGTTAGAATATGTGCAGATGATGAATGGAAGACTGCCTTTAAAATGCCTGTGGGTCATTTTGAATATTTAGTTATGCTTTTTGGCCTAACCAATGCCCCTGTTGTGGTTCCAGTTTGTGGGGTTAGTTTGTTTTCTTTTTCAGTTCCACCATTCGTCCACTAGATGGTGCCATCTGGTTACTTCTGTCTTGGAGGGCTTGCCTACACGTCTCAACTACCCACACCTGCAACAAATCTTTCATTACCTCAGAGGAGTATATGAGCAGCTGACTGTCATCACCTCTTCGCCAGAGTGTTTGCCTGTTTTGGGTACTCCAGCCCCTCTGAGCTTTTGCTGAGTCTACCTCTGAACTTTACTAGTGAATTCATGCTCTTACTTCTTCTTTTTTCTTGTGAATCTTAGGCAGGAAACCTTCAGATCCTCTGGGATTTTTCAAGTCCTTCCAGCCCTAGAAGAAAACCTCTTGAGACGTTGAGAGTGCCACAACTTACCTCTTCTGAGCTTCAACCTCATCAAAGCTTTCAGTTGACAGTCTGCTCTGCTGCTCCTCTGTGCCACCTTAAACTTACCTCTCCGCCGTCCAAGGACTCATCCACCTTCTACCAGCCAAGGCCTCCACAAACTGGAACCTCTGACAACCCTCAAACTCAGGCTGCTAGTTCAAGTAAGAACAGTTCATCAGGCTTCTGCATTTTTTCCCCACCAACTGTGAACTCACCTTATCACTCTTTCCTTATGTGCAGTTGCACCTGGATTCCTGGCCGCAGGACCCACCAACCTGAGATAACCCTGTTTCTGTTTTTGTTTGTTTGAGTAAGTAGTTAATTATGTTCTTAGGGATTTCATAAATGACTTAGTTTTTGTCTACCTCATGAAATTCTGATTTTTTTTCTAGAACATCTGGGGAACATACATGTCCATCTGGTTTTGCAACGTCTGATGGAGAACAGACTTTTTTGTCAAGGCAGAGAAATGTGTGTTTCATGCTTCTTCAATTTCCTTCCTGGGAGTCTTATACTCAGGACTGGGGAGGTGAAAGCTGATCCACACAAGGTCCATAGAGTTTTAGAGTGGCCAGTCCCCACTAAAAGGAAACATCTTCAGCGTTTTCTTGGGTTTTCAAAATTCTACTGGTGGTTCATAAAGAACTACAACCAAACAGCTGCCCTGCTAGCTAGCCTAACTTCACCAAGAAACTGTTTACATGGGCACCTGAGGCAGATCGGGCCTTTCAGGAGCTTAAGAACAAGTTTGGTAATGCACCCGTGCTAGGCCAACCAGACCCATTAAAGCAATTAATTTTGGAGGTTGATGCCTCTGACTCAGGTTTTGGTGCGGTGCTGTCTCAGATCTCTACAGAAGATGACAAGTTACATCCCTGTGCCTTCTTTTCCTGACGTCTTTCCCCTTCGGAGAGGAACTATGATGAAGGGGACATAGAGCTCTTAGCTATAAAGCTGGCCATAGAGGAGTGGTGCCACTAATTGAAGGAACAGATTTACCTATTATTTTTGGACTGACCACAAAAACTTGTCCTATTTACAAGAGTTGAAAGGCCTGAATCCTACACAGGATCTTTCATCACTAATTTTGTTCACTTGTTTAAAACCTCCATCCTGTATTGTTGGCACTGTTACCTGGTACATACCAGACCTTGTTTGTGCAGCCCAGCGCCAAGAACCGGATCTTAGCATCGGTCCTCCAAATCTTACTTATGGTCCCACATCTGTCTGCTTCTGTGTCACTCACTGGGTGCACACAGCCAAGTTCTCCTGTCATCCAGGAGTTGACAGAAACATAAATCTTCTGAGACGTACTGTACATTTTGGTAGCCATCTTTGAACCGGAATGTTAAGGAATATGTCCTTGCTTGCTATGTCTTTGCCCGGAATAAATCATTCAGTCAGTGGGCGTCTTCAACCTCTGCCAATACCTGAGCTGCCATGGTCCCACATTTCTCTAGATATTATTACAGGGTTGCCTTTCTCCAGTGGTTTCTCCACCATTTGTGCTATCATTGACAGATTCTCTTAGACCTGCAACCTTGTTCCGTTAAGAAAATTCCCATCTTTACTTTAAATGGCTCAGCTTCTCATAAAACATGTGTTCTGATTACACAGCATCTCTCAGGAGACTCTCTCAGATACATTTACTTCTTGGGTTAGAAGAGTGTTTTGCACTAGAGCTAAAGTTCTACTCTGCTTGGGTTTTCACCCATAGACTAATGGTCAGACAGAATGTCTGAATCAAGAAGTAGAGGCTTCTCTACGTTGCCTTTGTTTGTCCAACCCAACTACATGGAGTTCCCTGTTGCCTTGGATTGAGTACTCTCACAACAGTCATGTATCTTCTGCTATTGGGGAACGGCAGGCTTCAGTTACATCTGTCCAACATACTATTCGGTGCTGGAAACATATTTAGGAACAGACTAGGAGAGCCCTTCATCAGACTGCAGAACAGAATCGGTGCTATACGGACTGCAAACAAGCTCCTGTTCCGGCCTTCTGCTCCGGAGACAAGGTATAGCTTTCCACCAAAGACTTTCAGATGAAATCTGCTAACAAGAAGCTTTCACCCAAATTTACTGGCCCCTATGATGTGGAATCCGTTTAAGGCCCTTATTCAGTTCGTATAAGACTGCCAAGGAGTCTCAAGATCCATCCCATTTTTCATGTTTCTTTGATTAAGCCCATCAGATCTAGCCACCTGTGCCCTCTTATTGAGAAACCTCCTTCCCCCTGGACATTGGTGTGCACCCTACCTACACTGTTAGGAGGGTGCTGGATTTCTGTCAGTGCGGCGGAGGTTTCCAGTACCTGGTAGACTGGGAGGGTTACGGCCCAGAGGAAAGTTCCTGGGTTTCTTGTTCCCTCATCCTGGACCCTGACCTCATTAGAGACTTTGAAGATTTTTGTCCTGGTCCCAGTGGACCGCAAAGGGCCGGTCGTGATGTAATAATCAGGTTATTTGACCTGTTGGTTTATTTGTCGGTTCCAAATCCAGCTCCAGCATTCAATGTCATTGTGTACTTGGGCAAGACACTTCACATGCATTCCCTACTGATGGTGGTCAGAATGCCCTGTAGCGCATTGTATGGCAGTCTTGCTTCTGCAGTGAGCCAAAGGGAAGCTGTGGCTACAATGTAGCTTGCCACCATCAGTGTGTGAGTATGTGAATGGGTGAATGATTGAATGTAGTGTAATCTTTGATCAACTCTCCTGATAGTAAAAAGTGCTATATAAGTACTGTCCATTTCCCATTTTCACCATATATGGGCGTCAGATAAAACATTTTAACAGACATCCTGCAGCCACTCAAAATCAACTATTCACACAGACCATGGCCGAAATTATATTAAAACATAGAAAATCATCTACTGCTGGAGAAATATTTAATAACTTTTCAAATCATTACAAGTATCACTGTATTTAATTCTAGCTTTCCAGACTTTTAGATTAGGTTAGTTTCGCCAATTACCTCTTTTTCGTTGATTGGTTTAATCTCTCAATGGCAGGTCTATAAAACAACATCCCATTCTTCAATTTATGCCAGCCACAGGGCTCTACTTTCTCGCTGGTCAGATCAGCATACAATTACTTTTTATCAAATCTATATAAATTCAGAGTCACAATATAAACCACATCAAATTATTTCTATGATTCTAAACATGAAAACAAAATCTAACCAAATTCCAATTCCTGCACTAATGTTTTTTACTACTACTTATTTCAACTGAAGATTGACTGATATGGTTTTAGCTATAGATGCTTCATCTCTCAACATCCCGGAACCTTCGATCATGCTTGGCTGTTTCTACATCCAAGAAATAGCAGTATAATCAAAGCTAATTTTCTTTTTAAAAGCTACAATTTTTGGTAGTGTGTACACTGCTGCTAAAATTCAATGTGGGGATATTTTTCTGTTGCGCATATAAGCACATGCGTATTAGAAAAATGTATGCCAATCTGAAAGTGTATGCTGTTTTGACAGAAAACCGGCTCCTCCAGGGTTGAGGGCAGATCATGTTTGAGTGCGGAATAAACAGCTGATTAATACACAGCATTCTCATGAAATAGGTGCATTTAAGAGCATATTTAATGGAGTTTGATTACTACATTTATGAAGCGTGAAGGTAAACAATGCATATTTTAGCAATCATTTTATGAAATTTGCAGTGGAGGTTATGCCTCCATAATATTCAATAAGAAATTTTTACTGATAGAATGAACTGGTGCAGTGATGTTTGCAACTCCTCTGCATAATGCAATCTGGTAAATAAAGGAACTCCTACATATTTCTGTCTCTTGAACTAAGGTATACACAGTTAGTGCACTGTCATTTTATGAAAATGTGACAAGAATAGTGCAAGCATCATTCATAATGAAAACATGATCCAAGGATTGCATACGTATTAAAATACATAACCATTGTCAATTTGGCAGGTTGAACACCTTTCATCTTTCAGAGGATCTTTACAACTCTTATAAAATAGATACATATATACCATTACATTTATCCAGATTTGACATTTACTCAAGAGATACTTGTAATTATTTTTCTGAAGTGCAACTAATGGCAAGAAAAAGAATTTCCCTTACAGACGGAGGCCAGTTCCATTTCCGGCTTGAATATGTTTATTCACTTCTGGGGACTGTTTGGCTGTAATCAGCTTGCATAAATCTCTTTGATGATAGCCACAAGAACATCTGCTGGAGCAACAAAAAAATTGAGGGAGGTAATAAAATGTCTGGGTGAACATATGCTAATGGAAATGTGGTCTTCTCTGAAGTTTGTCACACTCCTCAACTTTCCGTGACAGTGTGAGCAGGCTATGCAAGTATAAAAGTCAAGTTTTGGTTCATTGAATCTAACACAGCTAATGCTGTTATTCCTGCTTTTGAAGGATGATAATCACCTCACAGACAGGGTGAGCTTTGTAAGATGAGGTGGTAAAGGTTTCTGTTAATGCTGAGACAGCTTTGCCCTTCGGTAGTTTTGTTTCCTTTACTCCCTATTTACAGTGAGAGGCACAGAGGCATGCACAGTTCTGCTGTAATATCAACAATATTTTACCTTTTCCTACAAAAGCAGGGTCGAGAGGGACATGGTTGGTAAGTTACTGTCTGCTGAGGAGTTTGTGTTTACTATAGTACAGAGATGGCAAAAGTACTCACTTTCCGTACTTGAGTAAAAGTACAGATACTTGTGTTAAAAAATACTCTGGTAAAAGTGGAAGTACTGATTAAACTTCTTTACTCAAGTAAAAGTAACAAAGTACAGGCTTGTAAATTTACTTAAAGTATAAAAGTAAAAGTAGAAACCACTTTTTTCATGCCGTTGCCTACATTTTAAATGGATGTCTGCCAATAGGACTAGATCTCCGTTGTGTTCATTTTCAATCATCTTGTCGTCCATACTACTATGCTAACGCCACCGCCACCAAGCTGCAATGATTTGCCGCGAATGAATAGCGTCGAATCTGTCGATTCATCTTATAGTGGTGCGTCAAATGCAACGTAGATTCCCATCCAATTAGATTGAATTTGGTATTGATGACGTGAAAAATAATAACGGTAACTCCATTGAAATGATTCAAAACTAAAGTAACGAGCCAATTTTTTTAAATGTAAGGAGTAGAAAGTACAGATATTTGTGTAAAAATGTAAGGAGTAGAAGTAAAAAGTCACCATAAAAATAAGTAGTAAAGTAAAGTAAAAATATCAGAAAAATCTACTTGAGTACAGTAACGAAGTACTGTATTTGTACTTCGTTACTTCCCATCTCTGCTATAGTAACCAAGTTATTCAATATTTTAAAAAGTAATTAAATCAAATGAGTCATCATTCAATAACAAAACGATAAATTAAAGATAAATAAGTTTTATTTCTCTGCTGTTTAAACTACTTTATTCCACCTTTCATTGCCGTCTGCTCACAAAAATATCTCTATTTGTTGGGTTCTCAATAAGAACGGGTGCCTTATTAAATTTATTTAATTCTCTCTGTTAAAAACAAAACATCAATATCACGGTCAGATATTAAGTTATTGATTAAAACGTTTTTTTTTTCTTTAAATAGATCCAGTGTTCACTAAACCCAGTTTGTATGGTTTAGTGGCTAATAGTAATTCTATGTCTGGTTGAACCTGACAATTTGTGGTTTCTAAATTTGATTGTTAACTGCTTGGCCTTTTATTTTTTTGTCACATTTTGGAAACATCTCAATAATGATCAGTAGTCAGTCACTTCTCTGGCTGTATACGGATAGGTTTATTTGGTGGAGGGTTTCGTTTCTGTTTATGTTCAGGTAAATTTAGTTAGTTTAGTAATTGGTGTTTGGTTTGGATGATGTCAACTAGTCTTTTTTTTTAGTGTATTTGGTTGATTCATGTATTGTTTTTTGTCAAATTGTCTATCTGAAATAAATTCCTACTCATCCGTTCATTCATTCCTTTATTCATTCGTTCATTCAGTAGAAACAGTGTTCGCCTCAGCGTCATTGTAAAGGCTGTAACACTAACTGTACATACATTTGATTTCTTAGGGCTTTTTTTCTGTTAAACATTTGTAACCATTTACAGTTTTCAATAAGGGTGTAACTAAATGTGAAAATAATTCCGTGCCGTGAATACTTTCTAGGTGCACTGCTTGTCTGATCAAGCTGTTTATCAACTGTTTTAACTCTCTGCATTTATCAATGCATTTATTATCTGAGCTTGGGCAGCTTTAAGTTTATTTTGCTGTGACAAAAAAAGGAGCTAAAGAAAAATCCCAAAAGAGGGAACTTGTTATTTTTGGTGAGGGATGAAAAGATATGCTTTTAGATTGATTTTGTGTCAGAGGAAACTGTCCCCAAATCATCTAGTGCTTGTGCCATGTGTCTGGTTGAGTTAATTGTGTGAGAGCAATGTGGATGGGTTTCTGTGACTGGATAATTGATCCATTTTGTGGGTGTGAAAACCACCCATAGAGCTGGGCACAGATAGCACAAAACGTACACAATGCTGTAATCGCCCCCTTTGGCAGCTGCAGAGCTTTGGAATTTCAGGAACAGAAGTACTGCAGAGGGCTTAGGAACAATTTAGATGCAGGGCATTTCAGTTTTAGCCCCACTTCCCTTATGACAGACTAGAGAGTTCTTGAGAAAGCATCTAATAAACACAATATATATTATTTTGAAGTTTTTAAATAACTTTTTAGCATATCTGTGATGTTATACCTGGTAACTGCATTTTGTTATATAAATACTATTCATTTTAGATTAAATCAAGACAGTAGGAGTAGATGTGAAACAATTATAGCTTCTGACTGGACAAGCATTATTTTTCCTTTTTTGTTTGTTTGTTTTTTTTTGTTTTAGTTTCAAGCCCCAAGTATTTTAGCAATGTACCTGTACAATTTTGTTGCTCTGGCTCTATGCAAGTCATGGCTGGACTCATAAACAATGTGTTGCTGTACTGAGGAATGTACAGAAACTAAAGAACTACAGGTTATAGATTTGTGTAGATATGAAATGAAAAATATATGGACACACCTCACAGAGTAACTGCCATGAAAAGTAAGTGTAGAATGCACATGAGGTATTGTCTATGTTGTTAGATAGAGCTGCAGACAGCAGCATGATGGATAGCAGCAAGAAAGATGTAACACAGAGTGACAATGTACTAGGATGCCCCTTTGCTCTGATTTCTGCTCTAATACACTGGAGTCACTGGTGACTAGCATGACTATAGTGACTCCAACGCTGATGCAGGTAAGTACTCTCCTTAGTTGCATTGTTGGCTTCTCATTTGCCAGTGCGGTTTCAATTATGAAAATACAGTCAAGTTCTCCTATTTTGGCTATCATTTAAATATATTCAGTGTTCTTCGCAGTGACTCAAAATTTGCTTTTGTATGTTTAGGTGACTTTTGGGAGAGAGAACATGTAAGCATGTATCAGGTGGTGATCCTGCAACATTTGCATGGTGCTCTTAGTGCCAAATTGTTGGAATAAGATGGCTGTAATTAGTGAGCCTATGCATATTAAACAGCATCCCCTCATCTTGAATAACACTAGGAGCTGATAAGCCAAAGATAATGTGCAGAAGGTTGCACATGTCACTCTAAAGTATCCAGCTTAGAGACTCAGTAATTCAGTTTCACCCTCTAACCTTTAATGTGTGATGAGGAATATATAATTATATTGAAATTATAAGGATAGGGAGAAAGCTATTTGACAGCTTTACCATGCATGAATGCACAAATGCAAATATAATTTTAAAGATATTACCAAAAGAAATAAGAATTGAGGGATTTAAAAAATAAAGGTGTTTTCTCTTCTTTCATGGTAGAATATACTGAAGACTCCCTTAAACCTTTTATCATGTTGTCTGCACAATTTCTAGAATGATTTGGCAACATTAAATACGCAGATGCAGACACTTTGTTTATTATTACTCCTTTATTAAGGAAGCACACAGATAGCAAGTTTGTTTTTAAAGCTGGAGCATCCCAAAGATCAGAGCTATTGGAGTTTGGACTTCTGAATGTTGGATCAATCTGGCTGATTCTGCACAATTTTCTCTACCTGGTTAAGTTAAAGTGATAAGATTTATATCTGTTCTCACATGATTCTTATACTGCTTTACTGTGGATCCGCTGCAAGAATCAAATAACCCAGACAGAGTTAAAGTTCATTAACGGTGTAAAACCATTATAATACTTTTAGATTGACTCTAGACAAAGCTGGAACTTTTTGTCTGAAGAGATCGTCTTAATGCTTTACAGAAAGAAACAAAAACAGTAGTATCAAAAGAACGGTATCCTTATCCTTGTTTAGTTTGGGTATTAGGTTTCGCATTTGGCCCATCCATCCTAGAACAATGAAATGCTATATCTACTAAGGCATCGTAGAGGGAAAAATACGCCACCGTCTGAAACAACTCAGCATCAGCAGCAGGTCATAACTCTTTGAACATCCATCCATCCATCCATTTTCTCTCACGCTTATCTCAAGTGGGGTCGCGAGGGGTGCTGGTGCCTCTCTCCAGGTGTCTACGGGCGAGAAGTGGGCACACCCTGGGCAGGTCACCAGTCCATCGCAGGGCACTCTTTCCCAAAACGTTTAGCCAAAACCACCTTAAAATGTATATGGAACTACATGATAACAAATATTAATCCAATTGAACATCTATTGATTGGTCAACTTCAGTGTGAAGGTGTAGATGTGAAACCTTAAACGGTTTGATCAGAAAGGGGATAAATTAGCTGTTCACAAAGATAGACAATCCACTGTGAGGTAAAGCAATCGCTTATTGGCAGTGATATGATTTTTGGTGTTGCAGTCATTTTTGTCCCCCCTCTAGCTTCATCACTTAAATAATATGAAACACTCACCTTAATCAGTAATTAAAAGCAAAGTCATATATGGATTAGAAATGACACAAATAATTCCCTTCAAATCTTGTAAATGTCAGTTCATTCCATATATACATTATATATTATGGAAAGGTACAAACAAATGCATCTGTATGTCTGGGTTAAAAGAGTTGTGCATAACCATGCATGGTAAATTCAAAAATTGTGTCTAATATGTCATGTAGATTAATTTATTTTGATTAATTTGTAGTCAAAAAGGGGTGGGGCTGGGTTGACTGGGGGGATTTTGGAGCAGGGAGATTTTGTGTTCCAAGGTCTTGGTGTGGAATTAGAGACAGATTTAGTTTTGGGAGTAACTGCGTTGCATAAGAAATTAAGTGTTAGTTTTTAATTTAAAAAAGTAATCTAACCACTTTTCAGATATTGACAAACCCATTAATGTGAACAGCTTAATAATAGAGTAGAGCCTGTTCTTCCTCGTTTAATGGTGTTTTTCTCCATGGAAATGGCTATGGGCTCAGATTTTACTATGTCTGATTTATTTCACCCTATTTTACATTAAAACTGTCTCAGAGCTCATCTGCTTAAATTTTTCTTTGAGGATCTAATTTGCCATGACCTTCTCTAACACAGTGTATAGAATAGAATAGAATAGAATAGAATAGAATAGAATAGAATAGAATAGAATAGTATAGAATAGAATAGAATAGAACAGAACTTTAATTTCATTACAATGGCACAAGTGCAAGCAAGGAAATGTAGTTTGCATCTATCCATAAGTGCTATACAGTGTATAAAATATGTATTTACATGTGTACAGAGACTATGTATGTACTGTATTGACTATATATGGTATAAATAAACTGAGAGTAATTGTAAGAGTCTAT